TAGAATTTTAATTTTAATTTATCAATCAAATATTGAAGCAAAGATATTTAATAAAATGTACAATAATAATAAGATGAATGGATTATTTTTCTATTTAAAATTTAATAAATAGATATTTTTTATTTTTTATTATATATATATATATATATATATACATTTTTTTTAAGATAACTACTACATAGACACCCCTCTTCTATTGCATAAACACTCTCTTTGTAATACTAAAAATATACCATTGCTACAATTATTTTATTAAGATAGACACTAATGAGGCTAAAAGATAAAAAGCAAAAAACAACAACAACAACGACATCATCAACAACAACAATAAACAAAGAATACAACACAATACAACACAATACAAGAACGTTAGCAATACAAAATCTATTCAAAGCAAACAAAATAAATAATAGAAGAATGATGTCTACCTAACAAAATTGCTACTTGGACACCTTTCTATATTTGTTTGTTTTGTATAAGTCTTATATTATTAATATTTCTATGATGTAAGTTGCTAGTCTTTTTCTTCTTCTTCTCCATTTTTTTTTTTTTTTTTTTTTTTTTTTTTTGCTTTTCACTTTTTGTATGTATATCTTTCAACCTCATTAACATGTAATTTGTTAAAAACTTTATAGCAATAGTATATTGTTGGTTTGGTACAAGGGAGTACTTGTGCAACAAAAAAGAGGTGTCTACATAATTGTTTTATATTTTCATTATGGCTAATATTTTATTAAAATTAATTTTATATAAAAATATTTAAAAGCTAGTTGCAAAATAATTGATCATTTTGTACAATTTCATCTAAAAGAAGCTTGTACTATGTTTGCACATCTATACAAAGTTTTGATTTAATAAGTCCTAAGTATTAAATATGACTTATCTATACAAAGTTTTGATTTAAGAAGTCCTACGTGTTAAATATGACTTATCTACACAAAGTTTTGATTTAAGAAGTCCTTCGTGTTAAATATGACTTATCTACACAAAGTTTTGATTTAGGTATCTTTCACTATATATGCTTGAGCATTGATTATGATAATACAAATTAAAAGTATTGATATTAACAATTAAAAAGTACTCTATAAAAATACTATAAGGCCTAAAGTTATATTAAATTAATAAAATAAAATTATTAAGTCAAAATTATTAGCCATAGTTGTTGGTTGATTAGACATGCTCATTTATTTTAACAAATACCACAAAACAATTTATATTACAAGTAATTTCTAAATATTAATTTTTATTTGAAAACATAAAAAATTAGATTATTAAAGATTTTAATAGGATTTATGGTTAAATAAGAGAGTAATGTAAAAATTATACTAAAGAAATTAGTATTAAGTCACTTTTATAATGTTTTAGAACCTTATAGAATCTTTTAGATATTTGGAACAATTTTTGTAAATCTCTATTATAGGTATTTGGAAGTTTCTAAGGATCTTCCATAGTCTTCTAGAAACATGCACATTATTTTATGACCATTCAAAATCTTTTATAATATTTTAAAATCCTATGTAGAAGATTCTCTAAATTTTTAGAACATTCTGTATTATAAGCAAATTTTGGCTCACTCACTGAACCAGAACCCACAGCAAAGTCCAGTATGTCTTTCATAAAAGATCATGTGCATTATGTCCAACAACAAAATAAGCACATAACCACAAAATATAATAGAATAAGTCTAAACTGATCATACAAAAAGGTGAATAATTGAACCATGATTAATTGGGTGAATAGCCAAAGCACGCAGCCATCTATATGTGGAAATAACACCCCCCCTCCACCCCACCACCCTCCTCATACCTAGAAACTTTTTCTTTAAAATTAGCTCAAACACAGTCTTGGTTATATACACATTTAATCAAACAGACGTTAATTATTTTTTGTAAAAACTTAGTGTTTATATTATTTTTCTCTTTTAGTTTAAAAGCTCGCATGTACAATCCATTATTGACACTACGGCTGTTACTCGCATGCAACTCTGAACAGTAGTCTACTTGTGTTACAAAAATCATCTCCCATCCAGGACCCACGTATTGTTCCAGGTTCCCTAATATATTCATCACCTGGATCGGGTGTCAAAACGCAGCCGTGGCTCGGAAACCACTCGAACCCAACAATTCAGGTCCTCAAATGTCTGGATTCCTCTCAGAGATCTCAAACGAAGTCTCCAAATCCGTGGGTCGGCGGAGATATGCCGTGGTCTTGGGGTCTAATACCGGGGGCACCCGTGCCCACGGCTGAGCCTCGGTTGTGGGTGGCGTGGGTGGGACTCACGTGGACACGATCGGTTTTCATGGGTTGTGATTTTGAAGTGGATGTGCACAAAAGGACTTTGCGAGATGTTCACTTGTTTGATGAATTTCAAATGGAGAAAAAGGTATTTGAGACATGTTATAAAGTATATAAAATTACGAAAGGCATTTGTTCCATTTGTCAACAATAGTTGCCACATTTGCACCACTTGACAAGGCATATATATATATATATATATATACATTTATAAGAAGAAATTATGTATTGTAATGTAATGTAATGACAAAAAGGTATTTTTACAATTTTGGCGAAATTAGGGTAATAAAATTATCTGTTGAATGTGAGTAGTAAGATTAAATTGTGAAATCTATTTGTTAGATATTTTAAAATACAATAAAAGTAATAAACCCATTTATCTAAGATATTGTTCATGTATCCAAAATAGATTCAAACAGTTTTCTGTCAACACATATGTTTTAGTATACTTTAAAATACCATCAATCATTAAATAGGTGAGTGGTGCAAGATTTCAATTGATACATAGCAGTGAGGGAGTTTCTAATTATTAGAGAAAAATAAAAACAGGCTTTACTCAAAATGGATTAAACCTTTTCCAAGTATAATGTTCTAAAAGTAAAACATTATTGCTTTCTGCACTCTAACTTGAAATGCTAAACTACATCTACAAAACAAACTTGATCATCAACAAATTTTTACGAATGACTTCTCATCTAAATTATAGATTAGAATTAATTTTTATAACTATTACAAAAAAAAGTGGAAAGAATTTAAGGTGATCATAAAAATAAATGCCAAGTAAAACTATTAATGTTTTTAAGATCAAACAGAGAAGAAAGTTGCTATCAGATAATTGTAGAGAAATTGAGGAATACATGATATTACAAGGAGAAAAGTGGTATCTACATTTCAATTTACAAATATTGGAGCACATAAACACATCTATTATACATAATGACATGTTTTTCATAAGCAACTTTTGTTTAGACACTAGCATTGCACAAAAAAAGTGACAGCCCCCTTGCACAATTACCAGACAACTACACTATGAAAGAAATGTACCCAAGAGATCCAATCAATCAATCAATCAATCAATCAAAAATTTAAAAAACAAAAAATAAAGAAAAAAACTGAAATAATGTTAAAAAAAAATTGGTCAAATGGAACCTTTCTTTTGAAAAAGTAGTCAAAAGAAGTTTGAGAGATCTCATCAAATTTTGATGAGGCTATCCTAGTTATAGTTATGAACATTAGAGCTTCTAATAATTTTACCATTTTCAAAAGAAAGAAAGAAAAAAAAAACATATTGCATGCATGCATGCTTATTTAGATACAAACATTTGCATCTTTTGATATTTCCAATACTACAGGATCACTCGGTGTTGATATTTGTTTTTCAATTACCATTACTTGAAGTGGCAATTGTAATTATTTATTGAAAATCTATTTTCAAATCATGAATCAATAGCTAAAAGAACAATATTATTAAATTTGGATTAGTTAAAGGGAGGAAAAATTTGAGATTAAATAATGAATTAACTCCACAAATGTGTATATATAAAGCATACCTTGCTGAATGTTCAATCGATGTCAAACAGTGAACACAATTTCGGCATCATATTTTTTAAAACAATGCATTGATAGTCAGAGATTAGTTATTGTGCTATCTTTCAATATAGGCAAATTTTTTATTTTGTATAGTGTTGTATCACTTATGTTTGTAGTATTATTAGTTTCCATATAATTATGAAATTTAATCTCAAATTATACTTGCACTATTTTATTCCATCAGCTGCATATCTATAATTAATTGTTTGCATGCACTTCAATGAAAAAAGGTAAAAAATAAATTCAAACAAGTATTGTTGATTTCAAAAAGTTGTTTCTTGAATTGAATGTTAACATACCCCCCCCCCCCCACTTTAGACAAATAAGTTGATCTGTACGCTCTTTCTTCCATTTCTATCATTTAAAACTTTTCCACCATTTAAATTTTAATATTCATTTTCAAAATTTAAATTCTCTTCACAATAAAATTGTTGTCTTCAATTTCTTTGGCATTTGTAATACGATCAAGGACAATTCCTAAAACTTTCCTTCTAAAAAAGAAAGAAAGAAAAGACCCCATTTCATTTTATCACCCAACCATGTAAAAAAAAACAGAAAAAAAGAAAAAAAGAAAAGAAGAAAAGAAAAAATTAACAAACAAACAAACAAAAGCCATTCTCTTAAACCAAAGTCAAGTGCAATGATGATAAACCCAAATTGATATCAAACAACACCTCTCCTTTCCTCCAATAAAAAGAACAAGAAAAATAAACGGAAAATAGACAAAGAGTAGCACATTAATCATAACCCTACCGATTTTCCAAACCTCCAAAAAGGAATATACAAAAAAAGGAAGACACAGAAATACACACACACACACACACACACTCCTGCAACGTAGAAGAAGAAGAGCCTAAGATCCATCTCCACCCCCTCGAATTCGTCCACAGGATTAGGCCCCGACCACGGTCACCATGGAGTCCACGGTGAGGGGGACAGAGCGGGGCTGTGGGAACGAGGCGGGAGCGGGGTGCCCGCCCGATGTTCCCAAGGCGGTCGGGGGGGGGGGGGGGGGGGTTCCCCGCGCAGCGACGTGACGACGGAGGCATGGAGCTGTTGATGCGGCCAGAGATTTCTCTCCCCCCCCCCCCCCCTTCGCTCCCCTTTCCTCGGCTTGCTCTGTCTTCTTCTTCTTCTTCCCTCTTCCTTCCCCAGATCCAACTTAGTTGCGTCGTGGTGCATCTTCGGGATCTCTTCCCAAGGGTTCTCGTGGCCACGTCGTGGGGCGTAACGTAGGGTTGTTGCAGTTTTCTGCGACGAGCCTGCAGATTGGGGTACGTGGGAGAGAGGTCGAGAAGAGAGTATAATAGTCGAGCGCGGGCTGTTTTGGGGGTTGGGGGTTCAGTCGGACGTGTTGCATTTTGCGTTTGGGTGTGGTTTTAGAGTCTGGTAACGATGAATGCGACCCTGAGTCACCGTCGGGTTGAGGTGGCGCCGGAGAATGTTGAGTACACGCCCAAGCCGCAGAAGAAATGGTCCGTGTCTAAGTCAGTGGAGTATGTGCTTCGCGAGCAGCGGTTCGTGTTTGTGTTGGTCGGGGTTGCTTTGACTACCGTGTTCTTCATGTTTCTGCAACCCGGTGGGCGGTTCGCGCAGAGTAGTGATGGGTCGGTCTACACGGGAGTGCATGAGTATAATGTCGACGAGGCTTATGGGACCGTGAGGGCGTTCGAGAAGGCGCCCTATAGGGCTCAACACGCTGCCATGGTTAGCCCTGGGGGTAAAATTCCGTTGGGCTTGCCCAGGAAGCCGCTGCGCATTGTGGTGACAGGAGGAGCAGGGTTTGTGGGGAGCCACTTGGTGGACAGATTGATAGAGCGCGGGGATAGTGTGATAGTGGTGGATAATTTTTTCACCGGAAGGAAGGAGAACGTGCAGCATCACTTTGGTAATCCGCGGTTCGAGCTGATCCGGCACGATGTGGTGGAGCCTTTGTTGCTGGAGGTGGACCAGATTTATCACCTTGCGTGTCCGGCGTCGCCCGTGCATTACAAGTTCAACCCCATCAAGACAATCATATCCTTTTTTGTGCGAGATCTTGTGTGTTATGAATCTGAAATCCCCTTGCGTTTTTCCTATGAATGTCTCACGTTTTGTTTGCTGTAGAGAAGATGTTTTCGATTCGTCATTCGTGCGGCCCCCTTAATCTTCCTACACAAGACCAACGTGGTGGGGACCTTGAACATGCTGGGATTGGCGAAGCGCATTGGAGCACGGTTCTTGTTGACCAGTACGAGTGAGGTTTATGGTGATCCTTTGGAGCACCCTCAGAAAGAAACGTACTGGGGAAACGTTAACCCTATTGGTACGAGTGACTTGTACTTTTTGATGAAGGATGTAAATTTTTTGGAGCGTGAGATCTGTTCTAGAATGAGTGCCTTGTAATTTGTCAATACCTGGAGTGATATTTATTCAAACTACTGGTTTCAAGTAGTTATTTATGCATGCAGTTTTTCAGCGTGTAAATGACATATTTCCTGAGGTGTTCGGGTATGTAGGTTGATGACTAAAGATTTTTCAGGGGTGCACTTTTCGCCGTGGTTGTGGAGGTTGGATTTTTGTCTCAGCAGTGTGACGTTTGTGTGCAGGTGTTCGTAGTTGTTATGATGAAGGAAAGCGTACTGCGGAGACACTGGCAATGGACTACCACAGAGGTGCAGAAGTTCAGGTACAGTCCGAATTTTCATGGATTTTGAATATGCAGTGGCAGTAGTTTACGGTAAGTTCCATTTAGGAAGTCATCGAAGGCTATGGATTAGCTGGTGGAGTTCTAATTCGAGAAATCACAAAGGTGTTGTTTTGCTGCAAGGTTTTTGAGGTTTGAAGTGGTGCAGGTTCGCATTGCTCGTATTTTCAATACGTATGGACCGAGAATGTGTATTGATGATGGTAGGGTTGTCAGCAACTTCGTCGCTCAGGTGAGTTTTTCGCATGGACATTATCGTGACATGTGTAGTGTGATTTTATGTTTGAGTAATTATTCAGTGTTATGACTAAATTCGGAAGATTGCGTCCTATGCATGACCTATTTAATGGCAATTCAGTGTTTTTCTGACAAGGTTACTGTTTGCCTTCATTATCCAGGCCCTGAGGAAAGAGCCCATGACAGTTTATGGTGATGGAAAGCAGACGAGAAGTTTCCAGTATGTTTCAGATCTGGTACGACAAGGCAGATGAGGGGATTTGTATTGAGTTCGGTTAGTTATTTCTTTTTTGAACGTGTGACAGATCTGCTTTCTGTTTCGTGTTCCAAGCCAGTGGTAAAGTGGTGAAAGTGTGGGTATAATAATTTTCGAAGGTTAAATCTGTAGGGTGTGTGAGTGTAGTTATATCCACCGTATGTACATTGTAATAGTCGTAGCTCTTAATTGTATTCTCGTATTAGGTGGGCTCAGACCCGGCTATCACGTGATGTCATTGGCATTTAATATCCTTATATTTTGCTTTGTCGGAATGCTTAATTGAGGACACGATGTTGGCTTATAGGTGGAGGGACTGATGAGGTTGATGGAAGGTGAACACGTTGGGCCCTTCAATCTCGGAAATCCTGGCGAGTTTACCATGCTGGAACTTGCAGAGGTTAGCAATTCTATGGCCTTTACCATGCATCGTAATTACTATGCATCGTAATTTCTCACAATGAGTGATACAGTGGTGAATTTCTAGCTGTGGAATGGTAGCTTTTTGAGTGAAACATTTCTGACCTGTTTCAATTCATCTTTCTTGCTTTTAGAGTTGCTATCATACGGATGGTCTAGTTCTAGATGTAGAGAACTGATTTATTATTTCTGCCTCCATGCCATCAAGCGATTGTCTGCACCTTAGCGGAGGTCATCAACGAATATTGGCAACTTCCTATGCTTAATTATTTTTACATTTGTGATGCAGGTGGTTAAGGAGGTGATTGACCCTTCTGCAACAATCGAGTACAAGGAGAACACGTCTGATGATCCTCACAAGCGCAAGCCTGACATTTCTAAGGCTAAGGAATTGTTGGGTTGGGAGCCAAAGATTTCATTGAAGAAGGGTCTTCCTCTGATGGTGGAGGACTTCCGCAAACGTATTTTTGGTGACCACAAAGACAAGGGATTGGTTTAAAATGTAGAGGTTAGTCCAGTATGCGAAATTATGACATTAGTTCGTGGTCACCTTAGGTTTCCTTCGACAAGCTTTATTTACCAGTTGTCCAACAACTGGTCACCCTTAGGTCTTGTACCTGAAGAGTTGAGTTGACATTATGAACAGAGAAATATATATTTTCTAGAAAAATTATACTAATTTAAGAGAAATACCATCCGTGTTGATTTGATTCCCACTCACTTATGTTATTATCAGGATGGAGAAAAACAAGTTCCGTCATTGGTTAAGCTGCCTCTGGATGTGCCAGTGGAACTTTCGTTAAGTTTAGCTAGAAATTGCTAGCTATTAATGGGAACTTCGCACATATATAATTTACAATAATAAGTATTGCCTTTTATTGTGTGTTTCAACTATTAGCCCTCTGCATTTTGTTGTTGAATTTGTCAAATTTAAGGTAAAAGAAAAACAGAACTGTTTTCTTCAAAATAACTCTTATGTATTGGTTTGACTTTGTACTGCACTGGTCAAGTAGATTTTACATGTGCAAAAAATATAAAAAATTGAGAAAGAATGTTAAATCTGTGGTTTTTTGTGAAGAAAGATGAATTGGGCAATTCAATCTATAAATAAACGAAGAGAAAATAAAATTGAATACGAACACCCAAAGTTTCGGATTTTAAAACTATTCAGTAGTGTTTGAAGAATAAATTTCTAATACTTTATCAATTAAAATTAAATGAAGTTGATTTAAAAATTAGAATGAATCTTGCCATATGAATATTTTTTGTATATGTACAAAGCATATAAAAGAAGCCTATTTGAATTGCAATTTTTTGTAACCTTTTTACAAGATACTTTTTGATAAGAATACAATTTTAATTAAAACTGTTCAAATAGAGCTTTAGTATCAGACTAACTGTAATGGACATAATTAGATATGTATATATAGATTAGAATATATTTAAAAAAGTATATTTTAAGAAGTAGCGGAGCAGCATCTCCTCGGAATCACAGGGTCAGCGGAAAGCGAGCAAGCCCAACTTCACGAAGCACACTGCTTCGTTGCTCCGCCCACTTTGTGAGCCGAGACACCGAACCTTACTGCAGCGGATGGCTTATCATCGCTTACTCGCCGTATCATCGCTCTACTGCACGGCCGTAACGTGAGATCTGGGGAGTTGCTGGTAGGTACTTCCTCTCGCTCAGCGCACTGTTGCTTAGAATAGTCGGTTGTTTGCGTGGCTCGGGTTGGAGAGAGCTGTGCTGCGGATATCGTGGATGGTAGAAGTGGAAGTGTGAGAGCGAGTGGAGAATGATGGCATCTTCCAGGCCGTGGTAGTCTGTCGTGAAAGCTGATAACAGTAGTGCCTATATAACTCGGATCCAGAACAGTTCTGTTGAAGTGCATGTGTCGGTGAGGGTTTTCGTCTGCGTCTAGACTTCATGTGTAGATTGGCATCGTGCGGTGAGTTGTTGGACAGTTGCTGTCTTTGGTTTTACACTCTGTGTCCTTTTGGGGTTTCTATTTTTGGTTGCGACGTAGTTAAGATGGTTTTCCATGTAAATGGGCATCTTAACTACGCCTACAACGCCAACGCCCAGGTGCTATTCCAGCTTGCCTTGACGGTGATTGAAACGCAGAGGCTGTCGTCGCCTCGTAGAAGTGTACACTTGTTCGGGAGTTTTGTGACAGGTAGTTTTGTCAACGTTGGGGTCTTGTCTGTAAATGCTATGGATACGATTCAGAGTTGCTGTGATGAATCCAGATTCCGATTCCCCAAAATCAGCAGATCAGGGAGCTCTTTGGTATCCGCGTCGTATTGGTAAGCGAAGCACTGTCCAGGGAAAGAAGACGGTCAGTTGACAATGGAGAGCAGAGTTCAATGGAGGTTGCATGTCACAGGGACCTGAAGTGAAACGGCCATAGCCAGAGCAGCACTGAGGTTTGCCCTTGTCCTTGAAACTCAGCAGCTGTTGTGATGGTTTGTCCTGGATACTCGACATCTTGACGATACTAAACACTCTCAGAGAATCAGGTAAAGAGAACCTCCCATCATGTGCCGAAGCTGGGAATGTCTATGTACATGCCATGCAAGATGCAATCTTTTCTTCTGTGTGAGAAAGGAATCTTCCTTTACACTGAGTGGTTTTGTGAAGTGAGGCATACGGAAAAGGGGAAGTTGCAACTTGCATGCATTTATTCTAAGAAATTACTATAGAAAATTTGAAATTGCAATAGAAAGACAAAAGGTTGAGTGTGGTGATATTTTAATATTTTTAACATTATTGTCTTTACATCTAAAATAGTTACATCTAAAATAGTTGGAATCCATATTTCTTTGATGATTTGAATAAGAACTAATGTAATAAATTATATCTATATCTATATATATATATAGATGTTCATGTTTTTAATACATGTATACTAATTATTATCTTAGTCTTATCTATGTTTGAAATGTTTTTATATGTGGACCTTGTAATAATTGAAAAATATTCTTAAAAGTTTGAGAAAATTTAGGATTTTTTTAGCAATTTTCAATCAATTATTTTAATACATATAAACATTGATAATCATATTTTTGTATGAACGAATTGATTTTTGAAATAAATAGTTACATGCAGTTTTAGTTATTATATAAGAATTATTTGATAAATCTCAAATGATTACATATTGTAGATAATTTGGATTTATAATCACATGTACAATGTAGCTTTATTTTGTTTATGTGAAGTATTATAATAATATTTTAATTTAATAGAATACACTTTTTATTCTTAAAAGTTAATAAAAAGTAAGATTTTTTTTGTAATAAGATTGTAATTGTGTGATAGAAACCAATTATTATCTATATACCATTTAAGTAATTATTATAGTAATTTTTTTGAAATTGCATAAAAATATGTTATAATAATATAGAAGTTTATTTTTTTTATTTTTTTTATTTTTTTTTATTTCTTTTTGTATTTTGGAATTTCTAAATATTATTGAATCTTGCAACAAACTTATACACAATATTGAAGCTGCATTAAAAGTAAGAAAAGTTGGTATTAGAGATATTTTTTATTAATGTCAAATTTACAACAAAGAAATTAAGGTATTATTGATGATTTTTTAAAAATAATTAATTAATGTGCTAATTTGTGCAAATTATTTAATCATGTTATCAAAGTATTTGAATATGTAAGGAATTTAAGCTACAAAAGTTTTAAATAAGAACTAGAATTTTGTAAGTTCTAATATATTATATTCAAAATACATATAATAGTAAAAGAATGTAGACGAGTAAAAGAATAAAAAAGATTTATGATTTAGGATTTAGAATGAGGGAAGGATTTAGGATTTAAAAAGTAATAATATCTTTTAAGTCTAAAATATATTTTAAAAATTATTATATAAATTTAAAATAAATTAATAACAAATAAAAGCACAATATTTTTTTAATGTTAGATTTTCTTGCCACAACATACTCGTGCTTTTATTCAAAGAGCCTTGATGCAACTATTCAATTAGATACAATGTTGATTTAGGATTTGAGATGCTAAGAAGAGTAAATTCTAATGAATTCTTTTAAAGATTTGCAAAATTTATAGAATAACAACATTAAGCTCATGATAGTAATAAAGGTACAACTAAAGCATTGCATGGTATTGTCACGGACATATACATTTACTTCAATAATTACTTACATGATTAAATAGAAGTAGATAAATATAGATTAATTTCATAAAGACTTTTACTCAAGCTTCTTAGAAGCTTCATAAACACGGTTTTGACTTTAGATGTGTTTGTAGGTCAAAAACTTGGCCAACAATTTAATCACGTGTTGGTAGCTTGTGGAACAAGTTAACCATGTGGCGCATACATAGATAACTTGCCTTGTAAGTTAAGACATGTGGCTATTAAAGCCAACATGTTTTGGAGGTCTTATAGGACATCACCACATAGCTCCTAGTTAGTATATATAAAGGCAAGAGTGAAGTCTTCTTCATTCTTGTCAACGCCATTCTAGTCCTTAGTCTTGTTTCAAGACTTTCTAGTCTTTTTGTTTTTGGCAATAGCCATTGTAGTTAATATTACATTACTTTTTGACTGACTTTCTACTTCTCTTCAGTGACATAAGAGTGTATCGAGGATTCTCTTTCTTTGAGATTTATATCCTTGACAGTTTGACAAGAGTACTAACATACTATTTTGGTCTTGTTTTAGAAGTAAGTGGATTATCCCACTTCTATTATTGTATTTTGAAGGTCGCGGACTACCCACCTTTTAAATAAAAAAAAAATCTTATTTTCTAACAGTAATTTTTTTTTTTTAAACAAAAAAAAGAGAGTAGATTATCCCTCTTTGTGGAAATTTTTATTAGAGGTTGCGGATTACTATCCTCTAATTTAAATTTTTGGATTTGTTTGAATTGCCTATGGAAGGAAAGATTGTAGATGCTACACCTAGCGGAAGTGAGAATAGATTTGCAACTATTATAGATCTTTATGAGCTTGTCAACACTCTTAGAGTAGAAATTTCAATTATTTCTAATGTGAACCATGGAGATACTATGCCTATATATATATAGAAGAAGTTTAGAGTCTGTGGCAAGAAATTGTATAATTGAAGGAAGCAAGTAGATCAATCTCACAACCAAATCTAAGGAGATTTGCTTCTATAAGTATGGTGGGGACAAGGATTAGTATGCCTAAGAAGTTTAATGGAACAAGATCAAAATTTTGAGGATTTTTGTAACAAGTCAAGTTCTATCTAAGATTGCACCTTTTCCAATATCTTGATGGATTTACTCAAGTTGGATTCACAGGTACTGTCACGGCCATAATCATGTAAGCTAATAATTACTTATAGAAATAGGTAGAAGTAAGTAAAAGTAGATAAAAGTAAGTTAATTCTATAATATTTAATATAGAAGCTTCCTAGAAACTTCTTAGACGCTGCTTTGACTTCATAGGTGTCTTTAATTGACTTTTTGGATTAGAAACGTGGTCAACAAGTTGGCCATGTGCCACACATGTTGTTAGCTTGAAGATCAAGCTAACTATGTGGCCCACACGTAGAAAAACTTGCCTTGTAAGTCAAGGCATGTGTCCTACAAAGTCAACACATATTGGAGGTCCTATAGAACGTCGCCACGTAGCCCCTAGTTAGATAGTATATATAGAGACAAGAGTGAAGGCTTCTTCACTCTTGTCAACTCCTTTCTTGCTTCTAGTCCAGGTTCAAGAGTCTTTAGTTTCTTGTCTTGTGGCAATAGCCATTCCAGTTTCCTTTTAATATACCTACTTGTTTATATTTTGACTTATTATATCGAGATAGCCTTTTGGTGTATATTTTCCCTCATCGAGTCTTTGTCCTTGACAGGTACACTTCTATCATGAAGTGCTCTCTCTTGGTTTGCACCTT